GCAGGCGGAGACCGGGAGCGGACGCCAGAGTGGAGCTCGTGCGGGTGAACAGACGGAGCTGTAGTGGTGGAGTGGTGTCGGGACTGATGAGCTGACGAGAACGGATAGGTGACGGGTTGGTGGGGGAGAATCCTGCTTCAGTGGCAGGAGTGGATGAAGTAGAATGGTGATGGTGGTAGAACCGGTGAGTGGTTCGACGGCGTGGCGCTGAAGCATTGTCTGGCCGGAGCTGAAATACCAGCAGACCGGAGGTTGCAGCTGGAGCGGACCAATCCCCACGTACCAATCAGCATACTGGTAACCAGGCACACCTGCCTGCGAGCTGGGACGCCAGAGAGAGAGAGCGCCAGAGAGAGAGCACCAGAGAGAGAGCGCCAGAGAGAGAGCGCCAGAGAGAGAGCACGGCAGGGGCCGAGGCTGCAGGGACATGACAATTTGGGCCTCAGGGAAAACTAATTGGGGGATCCTGTCATAGTACAAACAGCAGCTGCAGGAGGTAATAGGAAAAGCAGCATCACTGGACATATTCTGGAAATATACAGAACCATCCAATCTTGTTTTGTGATAATGTTGATGTGAAATGTGATTTGTGACCTTGGAAACAAAATAAATCAAAGGTTCACTTACTCTCCAGCTGAGAAAACACCATCAGCTTGATGAGGTGTAATTGAAAGCTCTGACAAAAGCTGAGTGTTGAGTTAAGTGGACACACTATGATGTTTGTGGAAATACTTTGCATCAGGCTGCTCTATGGTTATACTCTGTAGTGATCATTATCTATTCATTTTATTAGTAGTTTGAACGTTCAGCCAATTTTTTATTTGTAATCCAAAATACAAAGCAACCTTTTTCCCTCCACAAAAGCACATTTAGAGTTTGGTTTTATTACCAGTACTAATTACACTTGGGTTTGTTATATTTAGTATGAGACTGACATTTACAGACCTCTAAGGAGTGTGTTGCATAAAACATTATCTCAAAGGACACAACAGCATGTTGACAATGAAAGTTCACTGACGTCAGACACAATATATCATGAGAAGATATTTTGTTTGGATGGAGCGAGCAGATTTTATAATTATGCCAAATTTATATTCACATCTATGCAGTTGTTTGTTTAGTTTAGAACAGCTGACTGCCAAAGTTCAAACATCTGGAAATAAATTCTGTTATTTTAACACAAGGTTAGTTTTTTTCATTTGTAAATAGAATTTCTGTTTTCTGTGTAACACCAACACACTATAGTTTAAAGCACCAAAGGGCTACTGTATGTCAACATAGTCACTGATTAAATTCTTAAACCTCGATGTTACATCTCTTGAAATTGTAAATACAGATATACTTATTCCTCTAAGCATAAATAAAAAAAATATAGCTAAATCTTGTAAAACGTGCCTCTACCTACAGTTTGCAGGCTCTGAACTACATGTGGTCTGAATCGTTACACAGCAAATAAAAATCCTATCCTACAAACAGTTACAGACTGACAAAATCTCCCGTCTTTGACATTGTACCACAGTATCTCCTAGCTGCAGAGCAGACAGGCAGCTGGTTTGGTAGAAGCATCGCCTTCACCCACAGCCAGGGTCTGAAACATAGAGCTTTCCATACCTATGGTGCCTGAGCATCAAGGAGTTCTTGATTTGGAGGTGTCCCGAAAAACCCTCACACTCCTCAGTGATCCCTTACAGTTCATACTCTGATGTGTAGCAGGTCTTCTATTAATGACATGATGCCATTTTGTTGAGAACTGCTTCGTTTTCTGCTCCTTCTGAAGTTTTACAGGAGAAAACTGACTTTCAATGGGCAGTGCTTTAATACCTGGTGATCTCAATCTCCAACATAACCTGAGGCAGAGCAGGTTAGTCATTCAGCGTAAGTTACCATGGTGATGTACCCCGGTAGGAAGTGAATCACCATCGTAGGACCGAAAATCCAGGATTTAACCTGAAGTTACTTCGCTAACCCCAAATCCTGCTTCATAGTACAGGCCCTAGGTCAACATGGAGCTCCCTGTTGTATGTTTGAGCCTCAAATCAGATCATATGTTGCTGCAGATAAACAAACCCTCTGTGTGGGGAAGAGGCTTGCATGAAGAGCAGGAGGTTGAAGATGAAGTTTAGAATAACAATAAAGAAACTGTTGCTGTTGCTGCTCATCAACATGATTCCCCAGGGGTGACTTGCTATATGGCAGCTTTACCTTTGACATTCTCAACCCTTTATTCTCCGCATATCATCCGTGGATATACAGTGGGTTGCAACTAACACACTAATTGAATCGCTATGCCCAGTTTACCAATGAAGGGAGCATGAAAGGAGCATGAGATTCACTTGGACAGTCCCACTATCAGTGGCCTGACAGCCCATAAGTCAAGATGATCAATTAGGTCACCCACATTAAAAGGGAATTACATCAGAACACACAAGACGTAGCCACATCCAGTGAAGAATGTATGCAGTTTAAATTAGAGTTAAGGTCATTGCTTTCATTTTTATTAATTAAAGCATTAAAAGTAATGTAGGCAGAATGGCTCCTGTATGATTTTTATGTATTATAATATAAAATTATCATTAATATCATTTTTAAGTGAACATTAAAAGTACTGTATCATTAAATGTAAAAGCTGTAAAAGTGGCACATTCTAAACATGGGGCTACAAGGTCGCTCGGTGGTTAGCACCGTTGCCTCGCAGCAAGAAGGTCACCGGTTCGCGTTCTGGTGAGGACACCCAGGATCTTTCTGAGTGGAGTTTGCATGCAGCGTGGGTTTTCTATGGGTTCTCCGGCTTCCTCCTTCAGTCCAAAAACTTGTTGAGGTTAATTGGATGATTCTAAACTGTCCGTAGTGTTGGGGTTTGAGGTTTGCACCTTTATTTTGGTAGAATTACTTCCTGTTTGTGTTTTGCTGGGCTGCTGTGTGCTTTGTATTTTCAGGCTGGGCGGGGCTATGGTTGAGGAGGACTCACTCGCTCTCCACCACACCTGTCTCTCATCGTAATCAGTGCTGCTCTTAAGCCGGCTTCTCCCTGTGATGCAGCGCTAGATGATTTCCTCTCCTATGAGCAGTAGATCGGCTACAATTAGTTCTCGTGCTTGTTGTTCGTTTGTTGTATACTTACTCTCCCGTTTTCGTCGTCTTCTTCAGAGCCTCCTCAGCCTGACGTCCTCCCTAGCCCAGCAGTCACGAGTCAGCCACCTGCAGCAGCCCTTCGGATCTCCCCCACTGGTTTCAGGCACCTTGAGCACCTTCCCCCCTCGCACTGGAGCACACCACTGGAGTCCCTGGAAACCCTCTCACCTCCCCCACGAAGACCAGCATGCACTTGCACTCCCCCCCTCCTGCTTCCTTGGTGTTCTCACTCCTGTCCGGCAATAAACCTGTTTATTATTGTTACCTGTCTCCCTCGTCGCATTCTGGGTCCACTTCCTACACACTGGGAGCTCATTCCTAACACGTAGGTGTGAATGAGAGTGTGCTTCGTTGTCTAAGTGTAGCCCTGTGATAGACTGGGGACCTGTCCAGGGTGTCCCCTGCCTTCGCCCTAAGTCAGCTAGGATAGGCTCCGCAAACCTAGTGAGGATTAAGTGGTGTATAGATAATGGATGGATGGACATTCTAAACATATCTGTAAATGAGCCAGAGTTTACCAAATGCTGCATTTCATCTGTGATTTTTCAACGTCTGTAAGCAGAAGTCGCCCTGAAAGCTGATTGTCTGCAATATTGTCAAATCTAAAAATTCCTCTATACATACCTTGTTTACATCTATTATATATAAATAAATATTTTTCTATACATCTATTTATTTGTATATACACATAATGTTTATATTTATTATGTTATAGATTAAAAGGTATGATTTGTCTTAAAAAGGTAAATTAGAAGTGGAGTTAAATGCAACAACTGATACCTGAGTAAATGTACTGACACATACACTATGTTGCCAAAAGCATTCACTCACCCATCCAAATAATTGAAATCATGTGTTCCAATCACTTCCATGGCCACAGGTGTATAAAATCAAGCACCAAGGCATGCAGACTGTTTCCACAAATATTTGTGAAAGAATGGGTCGCTCTCAGGAGCTCAGTGAATTCCAGCGTGGTACTGTGATAGGATGCCACCTGTGCAACAAGTCCAGTCGTGAAATTTCCTCGCTCCTAAATATTCTACAGTCAACTGTCAGTGGTATTATAACAAAGTGGAGGCGATTGGGAACGACAGCAACTCAGCCACAAAGTGGTAGGCCACGTAAACTGACAATGCGGGGTCGGTGGATGCTGAGGCACATAGGGAGCAGAGGTTGCCAACTTTCTGCACAGTCAATTGCTACAGACCTCCAAACTTCATGTGGCCTTCAGATTAGCTCAAGAACAGTGCATAGAGAGCTTCATGGAATGGGTTTCCATGGTAGAGCAGCTGCATCCAAGCCTTTAATCACCAAGTGCAATGCAAAGCGTCGGATGCAGTGGTGGAAAGCACGGCACCACTGGACTCTAGAGGAGACGCGTTCTCTTGAATGATGAATCGCGCTTCTCCATCTGGCAATCTGATGGACAAGTCTGGGTTTGGCAGTTGCAAGGAGAACGACACTGGCCTGCATTGTGCCAAGTGTAAAGTTTGGTGGAGGGGGGATTATGGTGTGGGGTTGTTTTTCAAGAGCTGGGCTTGGCCCCTTTGTCCCAGAGAAAGGAACTCTGAATGTTTCAGCATACCAAGAGATTTTGGACAATTCCATGCTCCCAACGTTGTGGGAACAGTTTGGAGATGGCCCCTTCCTCTTCCAACATGACTGTGCACTAGTGCACAAAGCAAGGTCCATAAAGACATGGATGAGAGAGTTTGGTGTGGAAGAACTTGACTGGCCTGCACAGAGTTCTGACCTCAACCCGATAGAACACCTTTGGGATGAATTAGAGCGGAGACTGAGAGCCAGACTTCTCATCCAACATCAGTGTGTGACCTCACAAAAGTGGTTCTGGAATAATGGTCAAAATTCTCATAAACACACTCCTCAACCTTGTGGACAGCCTTCCCAGAAGAGTTGAAGCTGTTACAGCTGCAAAGGGTGGACCGACGTCATATTAAACCCTATGGATTAAGAATGGGATGTCATTTAAGTTCATATGCGAGTCAAGGCAGGTGAGCGAATACTTTTGGCAATATAGTGTATCTTCCAGTGTCAACTTCATCGTGGTCAAGGCCAAAGTGCAGTGAAAAGAACTTAATTACTTTTGCCTGGATCACTGTGCAGAGTGTTCACAGCTAAGGTCATGATCAGTGGTGGTTCTGGGCCATTTAAACCACAGGGGCCAGGCTAGGGCCAGCTGTTCTTTTATGAGTCCAATAAGCTAGAAATAAGAATTAACTTAAGTGTTGCACTCAACAGCAACACTAGAATTACTGAACTTTTGAAGGGAAAAAAAGTGTTGTATATAACAGATATACGACTTGCAAATGTGTATTTTCTTGAAACATATAACAGGAAGCAAAGCCTGGATCAAATACAGAACTTACAGACTCTTAATCTACAAGGCCAGCAGTATTCTTGTTGCTTTTAGCTCATTATTCATGAAAAGCAGCTTGAAAACAAAATTCTCACAAGCACCAGGCAGTCCTCTGTTCAGTCTCATAGACGAATCACACAAATAGTCAACAGGTGACTAAACAATCAATAAATACACAGGACAAATTCTGAATTCATCAACGCCCTGCCAGCTCTGTCTCTGTTTCTGCAACTGTGTTCATGTAAATCACAGAGTTTCAGTGTTCGGGCAAACAACCCACAGTACATTATATGACTTGCTTGCTGGGATCTTGTTAAGACAGCTGCAGAAACACAAGCAATATCCATTCTAGTAAGAATACTAAGTGCCCCTTCATTGAAATAATAAATCTGCCTCACTTTGTTGTGTTTTGAATTTATTTGGCAGAACAGGCAGAGAGAAGAATAGCTGAGAGAGTATTGGACACGGCATGCAACGTGGGCTCCTCAGTTTGCCATCAAACAGTTTATGTTGCAGTCATATAGTGTGCACCTTAACCATTAGATCACTGGGCAACCTACAGTGACACATTTACCCATCAGGACGAGACAAGCACATGAACACACAGAGACTGAGAAACGTTTTATTAAATCCTATTATCAACTTAAGATAATGGAGTTGCATTTAATACATAATGCTGGCATTTAATGTCATACACTGTGAAGCTAATGCACTGAAAGCTGTATGGAAGTATAAGTAAGTGCAGTTATATTTATATTGCTCCTTCACAAAGTGCTTCACATTTAAAGCATTTAGACAGGTATAAAAATAAAAAAAATAATAAAAACACTTTCTAACACAGAAAAAATGTTTAAAAAACAAGGGAAAATAGGTTGATGTCAGTAACATTTTAGTTTGAACTAAATTCATAATTTTTGTTGTAAAGCATTTCAGATTAGAGGAGCAGCAAAATCTTTGTCTCCCAAGTCAAGCTTTCAGCGCATAACACTGGTCAGTGGATCTGAAAATTTCAGTATATGACCATAACAAGTCAGAAAAGTACTCAATGACTTCAATATGCAGACTTTAGTCATATAGTAAATAGTATTATAGTAAATTCTGAATTTTACTAGCAGCCAGTGGGGGGAGGCCCACTGAGGCTTCTCCCACGTTTTGCTCATGAGTTGCAGTGTTTTGAACCATCTGCAGACTGGTTAGAGCTTGTTGGCTGAAAGAGGAGCATAATACTTGGAGTGATGGAGTCATAACATCACAAAAGCATGGACTTCATAGCATTTTTGCAAGATGAAAGTCTTCCAGTTAGAAAAAATGGATTGTGCAAGGTTCTTCATATGAACTGAGAAATCAAACAAAGAGTCGAATGTGACACTTATAATCTAAAATTACTGCTTCACATTCAAGGTTATCAATCCGGGTTCTCCAGCTTCCTCCCACAAGTCCAAAACATGTTGAGGTTAATTGGTGATTCTAAACTGTCTGTAGGTGTGAATGTGAGTGTGCATGGTTGTCTGTCTCTAAGTGTAGCCCTGCAATAGACTGGTGACCTGTCCAGGGCGTCCCCTGCCTTCGTCCTAGCTGGGATAGGCTCCAGCCCCCCGCGACCTTAGTGAGGATTAAGTGGTGTATAGATAATGGATGGATGGACATTCAAGGATAAAGGTTTCAATGACTGCTGTGGCACCAGTAAGGTGCTCACTGTCACAATACCTGAAGAACACAAACAAGTACAAATATTTGCAAAGAGGCAGGAGCACTTTGACATTTCTGCAGCACAGACTTTATTCCAAACTAATTCTAAGCTGACGTTTCAGCACCGGAGCATCTTCTTCAAAGTTTATCCACATAATGCTCCTCTGTCTGTGTCACCATGATAAATCCGCAAATCTTTCAACAGGCTGAAGAAAAAATCTACCAACAAGTTTAATTGCATCCTTCCAACCTTAAAAATCCAGTATTTAAAATGTACTCAGTACATATTGAGAAGGCTTTATCATCAACTTGTAACACAGATGTGAGAGTTGTCAAAGTAGAACGAGCAAACAAATCTACATTCACCTGAAAGGTGAATGTAGATTAAAGGTCTATTTGATAGTTAACATTAAACATGCGGTTTGTTAGATAAGTTTATAAAAATCTTTTTTTCCTTTTTATATATCTTTAAAAGTTTTTTTTCAAGAGGCATCTGTTTGGATGGTCAAGGGAGGATCAAAGTTGAGGCTAAGTGCAGATTCTTGGCAGGGGGCCTTTTTGAGATCCATAAAGGGCTCCTCTTGCTCTTCACTCCAGTCCAGCTTGCTGTTATTCGCAGTGGTGAAACAAAAGGTCAGAGAATTCTTTAAAAGACCATCCATAACTGTCAGCTGGTGTTATGTCCCACCCTCTGGTCAATTCTAATTTGTCTTTTCTGAAATCACACCCTTCCGGGACGCTCAACGCTCACCTCACAAAGAGAACATTTGTAGATTTATAACAGCTTGATCAGGGTGTTCTCCATGAGAATACATGCTCCAGCTGCATCACCCAGTTAAGCTGCTGTAGCAGATTCTGTGCTAGAGAGAATTTCCTCTATGGAGTCTGGAGACAACCAGCCTCTCCTGAGAGAAGAGGTGGTAAAGGGTGACCTATAGCTGTGGAGTGTCAAAGGAATGCTCTCTTGATACCATAGACTGTATAAAACATGGACGTAGCAACCGGCCCTGAAAAATGAATCCAACCCGGAAGTGTCAAAAACCTGCAATATCACTAGTCCTGGCTCCAAAAAGCCCTGGCTCCCATAGAAATGAATTAGAAAAGAAGTGATCACAGATCATCAAATACCGCATTCCTCCAGCTAAGGATTTTTTTTAATTAGTTTTCATGGTCAAGTCCAGAGATCAGGTGGTCAATCTGAAAATAAATCAACACAGAATTTTTTATAAATCGTCAAAATTTTGCGGGTCAAGGGGCATGGCTGGCTTGATTGACAGTCAGCAGCAACCATACAGATGAAATGAGCAGAAGGCGGTAGATGTGGGCAGGCAGAGAGGGCCTGCCTCTCAATCCGTCTGACCAATCGCTGCTCCTATGGTTCTGCCCCCCTCTGACGATTTTTGCGTCACTGGCTCCAAAAATCCAAGATGTCAACCAGGAAGCAGCAAAACCCTGGCTTCATTTTCTCAGTGCAGAAACCAACGGGTGACATCACGGTAGCAGCGTCCATCTTTTATACAGTCTATGCTTGATACCTGTTGTTACGTGCTGTATTGATGTGTGTGTATCCCTTCAGGTGTCACCCTCCCCAGGTGTCCTTAATCATTCATCAAGTCCGGAGCTCAAAGGACCGGCAGAGAGCTGCAGCTTGTGCCTTGGGCCTTTTTCTAGGATTGGACTTTAGATTTGGTGAAGTTGGTGGTTATTGGTTTTGTTGGAAGATACTTACATCTTTATAAATTGATTAATACATCTATAATTTACACAGACATCTCATGTTCCCTGTTTTCTTTTCCCCTGTTAATTTTTAACTCATCCCTCATCCCCTGGAGTTTATTCTTGGGGAACGTAATACTGGAGAAATGTCTTTTTCACAGCCTTAACAAAACAGCTGCTGAATGACAGGTCTCCTCTCTAGGATTTGCATGTAATACTACATTTTTCTGAGCAGGAAGCACATCAGTCCTATTTGTTTGCTAGCAGTCTGCCATCGAAGCAAAAATGAGAGTTTCACCACTCAAACTATTTTTTATTGATTAGCTGTATAATATGCACTCCCACTGCCAGGTGTTAAATAATATAAGAATACCAGACAAAACTAGCAAGTTATTTGATTACTGTTTAAATTGTTGTAAGTGTATATATATATATATATATATACTGTATATATATATATGCAGGGTAGAAAATAAGATATACTTATTTCCACACCAAAGCAAGTGATTGCATTAATTACAATTATTAAAACCAACCTTTGAATTATTTATCCAGCGATATAATCTCAGAGTCAGCATAATAATTCTAATAAATTGTTTACTCTTGGTGATCAGTCAGAGTGTTTCATAAAGTTAAGGGAATTAACTTAGAGCTTAAGGTAACTAAAGATAAGATACGTAAAGTGACTGAATGTAAGCTATAGAAAACACAGGAAACAACTGTATACACATACAACATTTATTACTAACTAAAACAAACAAATAACAACAACAAACATAAAATATAAAATACAAACAATGATGAAAATGCTGGTTGAGAATATGAGTGTGAAAACCTAATGTGGAACAGAGTGGTGGCTTGGAGACTTAAAAATCTTTTCACCTGAAGCAGCAGATAATCTGTTAAATTTGAAATATTGGTCAAAAGGCCAATTGCAATCATGAAACACCCGTTTAGAGACAGAAGCTTGATACTTGCAGTTTCCTTGGCGGGTGCAGCAGCGTCTGGAGTTGGGAGACGAGGCCTTCAGCTTGAGTTGGATCAGGGTGTGGCAGTTGAAGTTGCTAACATTGGACCAAAGTGGGAGATTCTATGGCCTTCAGATAATCCGCAGAAAATCTGCATTCTTTCGGGTGAAATGCCTTTTAATAGTAAAACTACTGACCAATCACAGCGAGCTCCGCTCCCGGAGGGGCTGTTAGATATGACGCCCCAGTATCACAGGGAGGTCGTGAAGTGGTCATGAGGTGGTCAGAGTTTTGCTCTAAAAGTAACAATGTTACTTCAGAACTATATGTATTTATACTGATACAAAGCTAAGCTTGTTGGAAATGAATGTGTCACATGTAAAGCTTCACGGGGAGTGTAAACATGACTTAGCTATCTTGTACGATTACAGAAATAACACAGTGCTTAGGATATGGTTATATAACAAGCTGATAAATTAAAGAGGGACTTATCCAACTGTAATTTGTCATGCCCTCGACTTCTGGCGCCGGCTAGTGGCGGCTGGTTCCTGTTTTTTCCTCCCTCTTTTGCTCTCTCTCTGGCTCTCTGGCTCTCTCTCTCTCTCTCTCAGGTGCGGCTGGCGGAGCGAGCAGACAGGTGTTTCCCATTGCTAATCAGCTGATTGGCGCCGCAGGATTGGTCCGTTTCAGCTGCAACCTTCCTGGCTACCGGTATTTCAGCTGCGGTCGGACAATGCTCCAACGTCAGACCGTCATACCATGCAGTCAGTGCTACCTGTGCATTCATCTAGCCATCAGTTTGTCTTGCTAGTTTTAACTCCTGACTTTTGCTACCCAGCCGGATCTGCTGCCGACCACCACCAACCATCCACTCGTCACGGTTCATCTTTCCCCATCTGCCGCCTACCCACCACCGGACTCTGCACTACACCTGTCTGCTCTGGTTCCTGGTTCTGCCATTCTCTGCTTCACTCCGCCGCCAGCTGCTGTTCCCTGCTCTCCATCAGTATTGAGCCAGTTAAGCCGCCACCGCTCTGTCTGCCATATTCATAGTAACTGCATTTAGTCCATCTTTGATTGTTAGTTGTTCCAGTTCGTCCGTTCACCGTTTGTTCTGCTCTTAATCAGTCAGTGACTATTTCGTCAGTCATTTGATTTAGTCTGCTTGTCCTCAGCATTTAGCTTGAGCTCCTTTAGTTAGTTGTATTGTGTATTTTCTCTTGGTACTCAGCCTGAGGTTCTTTTGTTTATTAGTACTCTCAGCATTTTTAGTCTGTGCACCCTGAGTTTGAATTTAGTTTTTTTCTTATTGCATACTCAGTATTACTTCGCCTGAGCTGCTTTAGTTTGTATTTTCAGTCTGCCATTTCTTCTCAACACTTAGTTGAGCTCTCTCAGTTAGTAGTCATTTTTTTGTTCACTTCCTAGCCAGTCAGTACCTGGTGTTGGTTGTGTTATATTGCTCTGTTGGATTCTGTTTATTGTATAATAAATTGCCTTGGTCTGCCGTGTTTCTGTTGTCTCCGCCCTGCCCGTAACATAATTAAGCTTTGGAGTATTTATCAGGACATGTAACAATTAGACTGAACATAAGATGATACGGCACATCCTCTGGTACTGTGTCTTCACTGTTCATTCATAAGTTCAGTTGTTGCATGCCACAGGAAATGAGGGGTCAGCAGAGCAATACGTTAAGTCCGGGGCACTTCATTGCAATTGGCCATTTGGGCCATCTGTTAAGGTCTGCGTGGTTGAATGTTTTTCTTTGTCTTCCCCCAAAAGCTTCTTTGTGTTAGATCCTCTGAAGCTCTGATAGGTGTGATAAGGGAATTCCTAAGTGGGCTCTGCTTGTCCTGGCTTTGGCTTCCCCCAGTCTGCAGAGCTACTTTATATGACCCTGTGGCCTGCAGAATAGTTCTCTTTTATGACATGTGACTGGATGCTGGAAAGTTCAAATTAAGCCTCTTGAATCCTTTTGGGCATCTGTGTCTGTCCATATCATACATATATAATTGGGGATAGGGTCAACACAACCTTGGGGGCACAGAGATGTCTATTATAATAGGTTTTAATGTTGCAACCATATTTGTTAAAAGTTTGTAACAAGCTAATGAAGAACTTAGAACTTTCAGCAAAAAAAATTGCAATTCATTTACAAATGGCTCATGTAACCCAATCCAGACTGATCATAGTAGAACTGCGACATAATTTTATGCCAGTTTTTGTTCCCTATATTTTCATCTAGTATTGTCTGTCACTCAGTCTGGGCACAAAGACAAAGCCTGCTCAGCTGCCTCCAGTGAAACATGGGCGACTCCTGACGGTAAACATTGGTTTCTACTCACCTTGAGACTTGTCCCTCCACCTTGTCTGATGGTGAGCTGCTCCTGGAATCAAATGTGCACATTCACAGCCCCCTCAGGTCATCATGCAGACCAAAGCAGTTGGATAACTGTCCTGTGCCTTTTGCTGGGCTTCCCAATACCTCATGGCTTCATCAGAGTGCACAAATGAAGAGCTGTCGCTTATTTTGTGCGATTGTCTGCATTCTAACCTTGTGTCTTCACAACTTTTGCCTATTTGCTGCCTTCTCTGACTTTTATCAGATGGGTTTGGATTTGAAAATGACCCCTATACCTGCAAGGCTTTCCTCTGGGTCCAGTGTGGTTCGGTTGGTCTCACAAAAGAAAATCTTGTTTTTTGTCCTTCTTTAAGGTAGGCCCCCACCACTTTATGTTCTGTGAGCCATGTCCAGATGCAGGGCCTTGACCCATAGTCTGACCTCTGAAGGCAGCAAGCAAGAGAACTGTTCAAGAATGAGAATCTCCTCACTTCAGCGTGTTCTGTGGTTCTGCTTGAGTTCCCTCTGGAGCTGGATCTCCCAGGGGATGTTGTCCAGCCTGATGTCAAGTTCTGCGGGAATCTGTCTAAAGAACTCTACAGTGATTTCACACTTAAACAGGGATGTGCAGCATACAATATATCACAGTTATTTGCCATCGCAACTGATAGTATTTGTATTTTTTACTTGAAATTACACTAATGGATGTTTTTTCTTTGAAGAAAAAACTGAGGACACTACATTGAAAACACTGCAGTATTGCAAAATTACAGTCTACTGCTCAGTCCTTTAGGTTAAGACGGCTTCTTGAAAACTGTATCAGTCAAAGGTGGCTTAAAAAGTAATTGTGCAGCAGGACAGTATTTGAGGTGTCACAGCTTGCTGGCGAGAACATTTAAAAACCGAGATTAGCTTTAGCTTAAAGCTAGAGTATGCAGGACGGTAAAGAACAGTAAGAGCAAACACTTTGTCTGCCATCCTTGTCTAGCTGCTCGCTAGCTGACACCCTGATTGCACAGTGTAACAGCCCTGGGTCCACTGCGCTCCTTCTCTTCTTTTACGGGACTAAACTTCTTTAGGTTTTGTACGTAAATGAGTATGTGCGAGTCCCTGCCACAGTTTGGTGGCTGTGCTCAAACCCTCTGCACCTGCTTCCCATCCTGCCTCCTCCCTCTGCTTGCTTGATTGGAGCAGTACTGCAGCGCTGACCTTCAATCAAGCCACATCCATCTGTGCACCTGTTTTTAAAAATGCTGCCAGCTGTCATTTGGTGGCAGCTTGTGTGCACTGCACAGCTCACCTATGTGTCTCTCCATGTTGAAAACTGAGTTTGAAACACTAGTTTTTGTCATGGTTTCATTAAGATTCCTGACCCACATGCCAAGAGACTCTCAGGAGAAACAGAGTTAGGAAAAGGATTTTATTACAGAGGCTGAAACGCGCAAAGGTGAGGTTGACCCGGGCTGGGACGTCGACATGGATTTGTGGATGGCTGGGGTGGACAGGTCGTACAGTGGTCAATGCAGTGGAGTGAGAGGGAAGCAGGAGCGTTATCAGTCGTGAGCAGATGATCCAGGAAGCAATGAAGAAGACTCGAGTCTGGCGCATGGAGGTTGGGGGGAAACACATGCAAGGAGCAGGTGCACTGGAAAAACCTTCGGAGGGAGAAAAACAATTACTCGGAAGCTCAGGAAGAAGCACGAGAAAAACTCGGGAGGAGGCTTGATGTTAGCACATAGGCTAACACTCAGGCAATGACTAACTGGCAACCACCTCCTTAAATCCATAGAGTAACGAGCCTGATGAATCACAGGTGTGTGAAGAACACACCTGCAGGGAATAAGTCCCAGCCCAGCAGGAGTTCTCCAGGACACCCTCTGGTGGAAACCTGCAGGAGAACATAAACACAGCCCAAAATCCCATTCCCTGACAGTTTTATAACCATGGGCTGGGCAAGGGAAGGGACTCTTGTTTTTGTTGAAGCCACTTAAAACATCTATCCAGCATTATCTATACACCTCTTTATCCTCTGTAGGGTCATGAGGGCAGAGTCTATCCCAGCTGACTCAGGGTGAAGGCAGGTTTACCTGGACAGGTAACCAGTCTATCACAGGGCTACACTTAGAGACAGATAACCAAGCACACTCACAT